GTACTTTGCGTGGTGGCATATTGTGTCTGTGATTGGGGGGGGGGGCGTTGGCGGGCAAATTCCGGGGGATGGCACGCATCGCGGGCTGGTGAATGGCAGGCAAAAGAAGTCGGGAGAAAGGGGGAGGTGCGTCGAGGCGGGGCACGTGTGATCGTAGCAGCACTTTGAAGGGGGGGGGGCTGTGGCCCTAGCGGCATTTTGAAGCGAAGGGGGGAGGAGGGGAAGTATGCGGGGCACGTGTGGTTGCAGCAGTATTTTGAGTAATTTTATGGGAATTGCTGGAGGTGATTTGCGTGTTGATTTGCAGTTGAATGAGTGAGCTGAGTGAGACGGGCTTTTTCGTTGAAATTCCTGCCATGGAGGAGAATGCGGACGAGCAACTCAACAACGAAAGCCCGAAACAGGACGATCAAGGTTAGCAGCAACAGCAGCAGTCCGTTTTACCGCAAAATTACTGCCCTGAGATGCTGTTGTTTTGCGGTGGCAATCGGTCCCTTTACGAGTCATTAAATTGGCCGGAGAGTCAAATTCGCCATCAGCTTGCTTCTACGCAGCCCTCGAAAAAGGGTCCATCGACAGCCTTGCCAGCAATTGTGATTGCTGTTGGCATTTGTTATCACTCAGGCTTGTCATTTGACGAGTACGGGGAGGGACTTTCAATTTGGTACTGTTTTAGTGATTTTTTTCCCGGCCAGTAATGCTGTTGGTTTATTTTTTCTCCAATATTTTGCTTTATTTTTATCCCATGTTGTTTACGTTTTTAGCACAAATTTGAATAATCATAATCATTGTAGAGATGGAAGAGCTAAATGGCGAAGTGCAGGCGGAATCGTGCAACCAGGTAGCATCCTTTTGACTGATATTTTTGAATATTTTAATTCGTAGAAAGTAGAAAAATTGATGTGAAATCTCCGAAAAGATTATCTTTTCGCTTTCCCACTGCAAAAAAAACCACTTTTCGGCAGGGGAAATTCGAATTTCTCGCTGTCCTCCTTCTTTTTCCATTGAATTTCTACGATTTTTTGTTTTTAAAAAATGATGCTGCTTATTTCTGTGTAAAAAATATGTAGAGAAAACCGAGTGACGATGCTGATGGGGATGAAGATGGTGGTAATGATGGCGGTGATGATAATAACGACGGTGGTGGTGGTGGTGATGACAATAACAGTGATGGGGATGACAATGATGACGATGATGGCGGCGACAATAAGTCGAAAACTTCTGAAGAAAGCGAAGAGGACGAAGAATATGTTGTGGAAAAAATCCTTGACAAGCGATATAATCCAGCAAGAAGAGGAACGGAATATCTGATCAAATGGGCAGGCTATCCGGATGAAGATAATACCTGGGAGGCCGAGGAAAACTGCGTTAGTTTTTTCGATTTTTTCGTTATTATGCGAGAATTCGTGATTTTCTTGATTTCCAAAAGAACTAAATTCGTTCATAATTTCCTTATACTCACAGTTAATTACTGCAGAAATGTGCACCAGATGCCATCCGTGAGTTCGAGGAAAAACTAAAGAAGCAGAAGAAAAAAAGCACCACCACCCAATATCAAACGCGCAGTAAATGGGCAAAAAAGGTACTGTTCATGATGCAGCGATGCGTTTGTTTTTATAAAAAATAGAAAAATTCAAGATTGCTTCTCTGTATTTTACTCCCGCCGTTCGGGTATTTTTGGTTTATCGAATTAGCTCGAGCCGCAGCAGCATCACCTTGCCTATACTTATCTAGTTACTTAAGCAGCTAGCTTTTTGTCAACGTCCGTTATCGCGCCATCGCGATGCAGCTGGCAACTTCTTGCCCATACTAATCACAAACTGTGAGGCTGTCGATAGCTTTTCTTTCGAATTTTAGACAGTGAGCAGCTAGTTTGAATTTGTTAACGCATTAGGAGTATAAATACAAATTTATGATCAGAACAAATGAATAATTAGCAGAAAGACTACCCCAGACAGCGCTTGCTTGAAATTTGACCCGGCTCAGCATCATCGAATGGTAGTGCTTGTGTTTTCTTAGTAGTGCTTCCTGGTCGACGGGCATTAGTGCAGTGAGAAGTAGCACTGTTGTTAAAGGTTCAGTGTGGGAAACCCCTAATAAATTCATTTCGATGATAGCAAAATCAAAGACTTGGAACCTGTGAATAAAAGCTGAAGAAAGCAGAAGCAAAAAACAAAAAACATAGCCGGAAATACAAACACGCGACCAGTTTGTTAAGCAGCCCCTCAAACACACAGTTATCAAAAGCATTCTTAATGATATTTGCCGTTGGCATTGCTTCAAGACCGTATTATTCGCATACAGCCCACCAATTTCATATCGCTCACTTGTCGCTGCGATACCGTTGATTAGTTTAACATTTTGGCAAATGAAGTGTTATTTTAGAAAAGCGATTCGAGC